GAATTGCCAGCAAGTAGATTTTAAATGTTTTCACCACCAAAAAAAGATGATGTGAAGTAATGAATATGTTAATTAGCTTGATTTAACCATACCACAATGTATACATATTTCAAAACATCATTTTGTACATGATAAATATATACAAGTTTTTGTCAATTATAAAAAAGTAAGTAAGTAAGTAAGGGCCAGTGTCAGAATCTGTGTGAGTTAGGTCAGTTGAGGATGAGAATTAGAATCAATGTCAGGATGAGCTTCACGCTCAGCATCAGGGTGATAGTCAGTGTCAGGCTGAGGGTCAGGATTTGGATCATAATGATGTATGGGAGAGTATGAGGGTCAGAGTGAGTTTTAGGTAAATGTCAGGGTAAGGAGGAAGGTCATAACCAAACTAAGGGTCACAGCCAGGATCAGAGTCAGGTAGATTATCTTTGGAAGGGTCAGTGTGAAGGTCACAGTTAGGGTCATGATCATTGTCAGGGACACTCGCATACAGGAGTAAGCATTACAGTTTGTGTCAGGGTGAGCATAGGGTCCAGCCAGGGTGAGTATCAGGGTCAAAGTCATGCTCACTGTTAGGGTCAGATTGAAGGTCCGGGTAAAGGTAAGTGTCAGAATTGGGTGAGGATGAGGGTCAGGGAAGTAGTAGGGTAAAGGTCAGGTTAAGGTACATTCATGATAAGTTTCTGATCAGTGTCAGAGGAGAATGAGGATGAAGGTCAGGTTTAAAGTGTGGATAAAGTGAGGCTAAAGTTCATGGTTAAGATCAGGGTCTCAAGTCAAGGTAAGAGTCAACATGAATTGCAGTGTCTTAAGGGTGACATTCACAATCAGGGTCAGGGGCATGCCTATTGACATAGTGAGGATCAGGGTCAGTTTGAGTGTCCAAGTGAGGTTTTAGTTAGGTTTACAGTCAAGTTAGATGAGGTTCAGAATGTGGGTCAGGGTCAAGGTAAGTGTGAAGTGAGGGTCATGTTCAGGATCAGGTTAGGAAATATGGTAAGGGTTGAGATAAAGCTATTTTTAGGGTAACAGTCAGGAAATGATTCAGTCAGGATCAGATTGATTCTCAGGATCACTATCAGGTTTAATGTCAGGTAAAAAGTCATGATCAGGTAAGTTTCAGGGTAAATATCAGGGTCAGGTCCTGGGTGAGGGTCAGCATGAATTTCTGGGTCTTGGTGAGGCTAACGGTCATGTACAAAGTCAGGTTGATAGTCATTGTGAGGATCAGAATGGAGGTTAGTGTCAGAGTCATGATGAAGCGGAGAGCCATGTTCAGGATAAAGGTCAGGGTCAGGGTTAGTAACAGGGTGTGGTGCCAACTTGGGTCAGGGTGAGGGAGGGTTAGTGTCAGGGTCAGGCTTAGAGTCTAGTTCAGATTCAGCATAAGTTTCAGATTCAGGGAATATTCAAGAGCATCATGAAGGTGTGTGTGAGGGTATGAAGGTCTTCGTAGGTAATAGTCAAGTCAGGTAAGTGGTATAAGTGAACAATAGAGTCAGGATCAGGCAAGGGTCAGAATTATGGTCATGATGAGGGAGACGGTGAGGTTAAGATTCAGGGCCAGGGTGAAAGTCAAGGTGAGTGCCAGCATAGGGTTAGCTTCAATGTTAGGGTCAGGTAAGGGTAAGGATGAAACTGAAGGTAAAGTTGAGGGACAGGGTCAGGGACAGGTACAGAATCAGGATCAGGATGAGAATGAGATAAAGTATCTAAATGACAACCAGGATCAGAGTTAGGGTGAGTGACACAGTCAGACACAAGGTGAGCGTGAGCATCAGGGTGAGGTTTAGGTATTGAGTAGGGGTGGTATCAGAACAAGAGTGAGGGTCAGAGTCAAGGTGAGAGTATATATTTCAGGGTCAAGACTCATGGTTATCATCAGTGTCTAAGTCAAGTTGAGGATCAAGGTCAGGATCATAGTGTGAGTCAGAGTCAGAGTTGGGATAGGATAGATGAGGGTCAATTTCAGGGTAAGGGTTAGAGTCAAAGTCCAGGTAAAAGTTAGGATCAAGTGAAGTCCAGGTCCAATTCAGCATCAGGATCAACGTGAAAGTGAGAATGAGAAACAATGTCAGTATGAGAGTCCAGGTCACTGTGAGGGTAAAGTGTCCACCATGGTCACGGGCAAGATGAGGTTCAAGGTGAGGTTCAAATTCAGGGTCAGCTCTAGGGTCAGGGTCAATGTCAGGGTGAAGATAAGGGCAGGGTTATGGCTGTAACATTTCACCTTTTGCTTACAATTGTATTACTAACATTAATTCAGGTACTGCTGTCATATCAAAAACAAAGCATTCTTCTTGCTAATTCTGGTTAATTTTTTTTTTTGAGGAACAGTAATGGATTTGGGGTACTCAACGTTTCAGTAATTTTTTTTCCTTTGGTGGCTGGCAGGTACAGAGATCCAAACCCTTGACGTTGGCATTATGAGCACCACACTCTTAACTAGTGAGCTAACCAGCCAGCCTATTTTTATTATTATGGACCGTTCGATACTATGGTTCATATCACCATCTCTGAAAAATCAAAATATTCCATATTTGACTTACTGTAGATTTACAACCAGATAGATACTCGGGAGACGTGAAAGAACATGCAAGGGCCGACCCGTGGCTCACTTGGGAGAGTGTGGTGCTGATAACACCAAGGCCAAGGGTTCAGATCCCTATATAGGGATGGCCAGTTAGCTCACTGGGTGGGCGTGGTGCTGACAACCCCAAGTCAAGGGCTCCGATCCCCTTTCCGGTCATTTTTTTTTTTTAAAAAAAAAAAAAAAAAAGAAGGCCCGCCCGTGGCTCACTTGGTCCAGTGCGGTGCTGATAACACCAAGGCCAAGGGTTCAGATCCCTATATAGGGATGGCCAGTTAGCTCACTGGGTGGGCGTGGTGCTGACAACCCCAAGTCAAGGGCTCCGATCCCCTTTCCGGTCATTTTTTTTTTTTAAAAAAAAAAAAAAAAAAGAAGGCCCGCCCGTGGCTCACTTGGTCCAGTGCGGTGCTGATAACACCAAGGCCAAGGGTTCAGATCCCTATATAGGGATGGCCAGTTAGCTCACTGGGTGGGCGTGGTGCTGACAACCCCAAGTCAAGGGCTCCGATCCCCTTTCCGGTCATTTTTTTTTTTTAAAAAAAAAAAAAAAAAAGAAGGCCCGCCCGTGGCTCACTTGGTCCAGTGCGGTGCTGATAACACCAAGGCCAAGGGTTCAGATCCCTATATAGGGATGGCCAGTTAGCTCACTGGGTGGGCGTGGTGCTGACAACCCCAAGTCAAGGGCTCCGATCCCCTTTCCGGTCATTTTTTTTTTTTAAAAAAAAAAAAAAAAAAAAAAGATTAAAAAAAAAAAGGAAAGAAAGAAAGAACATTCAGTGTGCAGTTAACAGGTTTTTCTGACCTAAAAATTTTTTTCCAACTTCTCCTTTTCACACAGCTTATAGAATGGTTGGAATAGAGTTTAGTTGTTAAACTTCCCATCCACTGTAAGGATCTTTTCTATCACATACTTTATCATTGGTCATTGTCCTTTGACGACTTGATGAATGGTTAGCTAAACAGCTCCCTCGGCTGGATAGCTCTAAATTAATGGAAAGTTCGTCTTCATGAATTGAGCCAAAGTGTCTTCCTACCGTCCTTTTCAGCCACGCAACATAGTAAATCCAATACCTTTTCCATATACTCCCTCGGTCATTTTCCTCCACCGGTGCACACTAGTCCAGGACTTTTTGCAAAGGTGAGGCTGTTGACTACTGTCTCATCTGAACAGGTCCTGGGTCTCCACTAACGGACAGAGGTTTCCTGAGGGGTGAAGTGGGAAGACCCCGGCCTCTGCCTGGGTCCCCGACCACACCTCAGAGGGACGGTTGCCTGGTTCCCTGGGTGGCCGCCACCTCCCTGCTGGGTCTGGGGCCTCCTCACACCCCAGGGTTGGATGGAGGGCTGGGGGCACTCAGCCAGTCCCCTTTTTACCCTGACTGCAGAGGCCCCAAAAAACAAAAGTCTGAGGTGCGGTTCTCAGATCCGAGGGGAAAGCCTGCTCGAGGTTTGAAAGAGGGAACAGCCCCAAACTTTTCCCGCTAAAGAGAGAATGGAGCGAGCGCCACGCATGGCATCTGATTGGTGCGCTCAGCCCCTGAGCCCGCCCTCTATCCCGCCCCAAGCGCTCTGCAAGGCAACCAATTGGTGCGCTCAGCCCCCTAGCCCACCTACCCGCCCCCGCCCCGCCCCGCACGCAACGCACCGCATCTGATTGGTGCGCTCGGCCCCCTATCCCGCTCCCCCACCGCCCCGCGCGTCCTGCAGGGCTTCGCATCGGTGCGCTCACCCCCTACCCCCGCTGCCGCCCTGAGCGCACGCCCTCCTTCTGGGCCCCGAAGCTTTCAGTGGAGACAGCACCGCTTAACACCTTCATTTCGTTTTCAAAAAGTTCGTGAGTCTGGCCTGGCCCTCGCTCCACCCACAGCACTAAAATAAGGAGGCTTAGAGTCTGGAGATCCGAGAGAAAGGGGGTCTAGTCCGGGAAGTAACGGGAGAAAGTTGGGGCATCGGGGGGCCGAGGGATGGTGGAGCCAAAGCTAAGGGGTTCCCCCGTCTAAAATATAAGGGACATGCCGAATGGTTCCCAAGATCCTTTCCAACTCTAAATGACTGCGACACTCAGGGGAGGTACTCTGCGATAGTCTTAGAATCAAGAGATGCTAGAACGAGACTGGGACACTTCCAACAACTTGCTCCTCGAAAAGCGTGTCACAGGACCACAATTTCTGGAAGGCTTCTATCCCGCTTTCTTTTTTCCACCACTCCCTCGCCCCAGCACTTTCTTTTTAGTCCTTGCCTGGCCCTTCAGTTCATCCTGTTTTAGTGCTCCCCAGTGGTTACTTAAAGCTGCTAACCTCTGCTGTATGGAATTAGGTCTCCAAGATCCTATCTAAGAAGGAGGGCTGAAGGAAAAGGGACTAACTGCCTTCACAAGTCAGGGATAGACGAAGGAAGAAAATCCAGGAAGTCCAGCAAAACCAGAACCGATTTTATTGAAGTGTCAAGGTAGAGTAGCACCGTGAAGGAGCAGAGCCTGAGGACATGAAAACAGAGCTAGGATTTAAGGGTACCTTAGACATAGAGGCCTGGGTTTCTGGGCCAGGAGAAAGGCCATGGGTGATTTGGATGTTCACAAGGACTTCAGGAATGCCCTGTATTTGTCCAGGAAAGGGATGGCCAGAGTGTTCAGCTTTTGCTGAAATTCTTGCAGAGCCCTCTCTTGCTCTTGCTGCTCCCCTGTCATCTGCTGCTCGTAATAGTTGATGTAGAAGCTTATCCAGTCATTCACGATGGTCACCATGGCTTCTTCAGAGATAAGAGGATCACTAAAGACCTGGGGGTTTAGTGGGGAGGGAGTTGGCAAGGGAGAATGTGATCAGCAATATGGCTCAGGGATACCCAAATAGTCCCACAAACTCTCGCAACATCCTCTTTCCTCTGATTTTTATTCTCTCTATCTAGTTGTTTCCATCAACTCCACCAGTTACCTCCCAGCTCCAAATTATTCTCCCTCCTCTGCCTTCATCCCACCTTCCCCCACCCCACTCTCTAGGCCTGTCCTTTGAAACAGAGTGCCTGAACTTACCTGCTGATTTAGCAGAGCATTAAATTCCTTCATTCCTGTGGAAATGAGATCCTTATTGGCCTGAAGAAGGGCCATCTGCCTGGTTAGAGAAAGAGGTAGAATTTGGGTTTCCATTTTCCTTGCCCTTGGGTATTTCCCTCAATCTTATTCCCCTTAAAAATCCCTTGTGCCCAGTACGGCCACCTCCTTTCCAAAACCTTTCAAATCCTGCTCTGCTCTGAGGTCAGTTTTCCTGGGTTGGGCTCACCTTCAAGTCCAACAGTGCTGTGTGTCTCACCCACACTCTTCAGTTTATGTATGTCCCTCTGTGCCAAGCTAGATATAGACAAGGAGTCTAGTGTCAGCTTAAGAGGGAAACGCCCCAAGTCTAGGCCCTGAGGTAGGCTGATAGGTCAACCTGGGGAGGAGAAGGAGGGAGAGGCTACTCTAAAGTTAGGAAGATAGCAAGGCCAAGAAAAACAGATAAATGAGGAGACCCAGAAAATGCAAAAACCAAACCAGGGACAGATCCTTGCCCTCTGCCCCACATTCCAGCATCTGGATCCAAATGCTAAGGAAACTGAGCTTTACTGAGCTCCTGTTACATTATAGGCACTTTTACCTCATTAAATATCTCTAAGACAATGTTAAATTAACTACAGATAGAACAGGCTACCCCAAGCCTTGAGTATGGGAATTAAATGCAAAACTATATACTTTGTGTGTGTGTGTGTGTTGGTATTGGTTTGGAAATGGAAAGAAGGTTAAAGGTCAAGAGAGAATTTGACCTTATCTATACTGTTGTAATTGTTTTATCAGCACCATGCTCTCCCAAGTGAACTAACTGGCCAGCCATTATAATTCTTAAAAAGAAAACAAAACAAAAAAGAAAGAAAAAAAGAAGATGGTGTAGTTCTAAAATCTTAAATTCAAATTTGAATCCTGCCTCAGTGCCTAGATTAGCAGCTTCTTGCTAAATACTTGTTGAATGAATAAATAAATGAATGATTTTGCCACTTTTCAGTTCTGTGAACTTGGTGAAGTGTCTCTATATATAAGCCTCAGGTTCCTTGTCTGTAAAGAAGGAATACAATAATACCTACCTTACAGGGGCTATTAAAATAAATTTACTCACTCAAATAGGTATTTGGTACCTGCCTTGGTTGGGAAATGGAAAGAGGGATAACAATCCAAATGTCCGAATACCTGGAGAACATCTCAGAGAACATCTCCCCATTTATAGACAGGAGATTGAGGCCCAAAGCAGGGCTGTGATATGTCACAGGTCACACACCAAGAAAGAGAGCTAACAATAAAATATAGACCTCCAGGCTCCTGTGCCCACTCTTCATCCCACTTTTTTTCTTCTTCAGGCCTTTGCTTCCAGCCTTTCTGGCTCCCTAGCCAGCCAGGCAGTATTGCTGGGCACAGGGGTGGGGGACACAAAAGCCTATTTCAGCTGCTACAGCCACTTGGCTAATGAAAGGTGAGGTGAACCCTAGGAGCCTCTCCTAAGGAACAAGGGCTGCCATGGTCTCTGAGCGGGGAGAGATCAGTGTGGACAATGGTGATCAGTAAAACCACAGAGAGTCCATAAATAGTGTGACCATATATTCCAGTTCACCCAGGACAGCTCCACTTTAGACCTGTTATCCCAACATAATTTTTAATAGTGCCTCCTTTAATGACACTCTCGAAAGTCCTAGTTTGGACAATAAATTATACATTGACACTAGTTATGAGGGCCATCTGACCTGCCTCACATGGAGCAAAGGGCCTCAAATTTGAACACTTGACATTATCTCCAAATAATGGTCAACATTTAGACAGTATGATGTACTATGTGCCAAACATAGTTTAAGAACTTTACAGATATTACTCATTTCATCCTCATTCCAACCCGATGTGGTAGGTACTAGTATTATTTCCATTTTGCAGATGAAGAAACTGAAAGAGAGATAAGTAACTTGCCCAAAACCTGACAGCTACAACCCTGGACAGAACCTGCATTTAAAGCAAGGCCCTCTGATGGAATTCATTCATAGAAATTGACCTCAGAGTTCAATACACTCACAGAAGCTAACATTTAATATAACACAATGTTTATAACCCTTCAATTTTTCACTCTACCAGGAAATTAAAATTTTTTTAAAGTGCTCAGGTTTATCTCAGACTCAGAGACACTGCATTAAGTGTCAGATAAGGGGAGGTGGAGTAGAAGGCGTTCAGGCTGACGCCCATGAGGAAAGTGATAGTTTGAGACAATCAGAAGCTTCAAGCAAGGAGTTGTCAGTTAGGGTCAAACTGTGGGGGTCTGAGAATGCCAAGCTAAAGAACCAGGATATTTTATTTTCTGATAAAAAGAGGATGCTTTTGGCAAATTTCTACTTTGAAGTCAGTACATTGCACGATGGGAAGGAGAGCGAGAGGGAAAGAGAAAAGAGGTGAATTGGGAAGGAGAGAAATACTGTCTTTAGACTCTTCCCCCGAGTTCATGGACCCTCTCCCCCAATAAACACATAAGAACATCCTGTTTCTCTTGTTTTCTGACACCATTATTGCAATCCCTTGATTTTCTCATCCCTTAGATTCTTTAGAATCCTTTCAGAAATAATATTCCTCCAGTTTCAGGGAAGCCTGATGGGCAGAGAATTTCTAGTAGAGCCCAGGAATGCCCAGAGGAAAATACAAACGAACAAACAAAAAAACTCTGGGCAGCTTAACAGGGCCTCAGTGAACATCTGATCCTATTTCTTTTCATCATGAATTAATTCATAAATATCTTTTGAGCACCTACTATGAGTTAGGTAGTACTGGTGATAAAATAAGGAGTGAAAATATAGTCCCTGGCCGCACAGCAAAGAAGGCACCTGTAACCCAGAGAGGGATACTGACTTGCCCGAAGTCACACAGCTAAGAATTCTGTGACTGAGGCTGGCCGGTTAGCTCGCTTGGGAGAGTGTGGTGCTGGCAACATGGGTTCGGATCCCCATAACGACCAGCCACCAAAAAAAAAAAAAAAAAAAAATATAGTCCCTGGCCGCACAGCAAAGAAGGCACCTGTAGGGTCGGCCCTGTGGCGCACTGGATAGTGCGCCGCTTGGGAAGCGCGGCGGCGCTCCCGTCCGAGGGTTCGGATCCCACATACAGACCGGCTCCCGCTCACTGCAAATGTTACAAAGAAAAACGGGCAGATCGGTCCTGGGGTGTCCGAGGCGGGATCCGGCAGGCCAGAGAGGCATAGCACGGTTTCCAAGCTGGACGACGGACGACTACGCAGAGGCCGGGTGCCCTTTCGCGAAGGAAAATTGCCCTTTGCAGCCGCCGTAGCCGAGCCGGAAGTGAAGGTTGGCCACGTTTATAGTCTATCCAGGCGCGGACGGAGCGGCTCGGGATGGCTGACGACGCTCAGGCCCCGCTGTGCTCCGAGCGGTTCGGATCTGGGACAGCACGGAGCTGCCGTGCCGCCGCTGACGGAAGCCTACAGTGGGAGGCCTGGGGGTGGCGCTGGTGGGGCTTCTCCGGGGACCTCAGGGTGAAGCCCGAAGGACGAGATGGCGGTGGAGGGGAGGCTCTCGCGACAGCCTCACCACCTCTCTCCGGGCTCCAGGCCGTGTTCCTGCCGCAGGGCTTCCCTGATAGCGTCAGCCCGGACTATCTGCCCTACCAGCTATGGGATTCCGTGCAGGTCAGCCCGGCCGTCTGGGGCAGGGGGCGGCATGTGGCCGGGGGCAAGGGGACAGTACAGGCCACCTCTCCCTTATCATTTACAAACTGGAGACCAAGGCCCAGAGCGGGGCTGTAACATGTTACAGGCCACGCACCAAGAAAAAGAGCCGATAATAGAATGTAAACCTCTATGCTCCTGCGTCCACTTCTCACCCCCTTCCTTTCTTCTCCAGGCCTTTGCTTCCAGCCTCTCTGGCTCCCTGGCTACCCAGGCAGTGTTGCTGGGCATAGGGGTGGGGAACGCAAAAGCCTCTGTTTCAGCTGCCGCGGCCACCTGGCTCGTAAAAGGTGAGCTGGACCCTTGGAGACTCACCTATTGCTGCTGTCAGCCCATTCATCTCTCTGACCTCTTGTTTCTCCGACTGCAAAGCCCAACCCCTCATTTTCCCCTCTGCCAGTTTGTTCTGGCTTCTAGCTCTGGGCTCTGATGTGTGTATACTTATGGACTCTTTGGGTAAGATACAGGAGCCAAATCTTCCAGTGCCTCGAGCCTTGGTACCCCGGTCTTATCGCCCGTAGTTGGGCTACCCTCATTCCATGTTAGGCAACAGCCGCACTCCATTTCCCATACAAACTTCAGAGGCTCTAAATCATCTGGATCCCAAATCCCTAAATTAACCATTCTCTCCCCTTTACCCTTAGTCTCTTTGTGGAGGATTGCCTGAGAATGCAATTTATTGAATAAAACTGCCAGCTGCCCAGGATTGGGGAAATTGGTTGATTTCAGGAAAAAAGGATGTAGCTGGTCTTGAGTAGGAGAGAAGAGATTCTGGGAAGGATGAAAGTATTCTGCATCATCTGGGATTCTAGATGATACTGAAAATAATAATTGTACTGACCATCTGCTGCGTGTGTATAGCTTTTTGAAAAATCACTAAGGAAGAAAGTAGTACCATGCCTTCTAGAGAACTAGGTCGAGAGAAGAAAAGGGAAACTGCCATGTGTTCCACATCAGGAGAGCCTACGGCTCTCTCCACTGCCCTTTGTCTTTCACTGCTATTCCCAATGGGTATTTAAATCAGACCCAAGCTCATTCTGCTTCTAACATCAGCCTGGCCACATCTCTGGTGAGCCTCCCTGGATCTTTTGAAGAATCAGAAGGCTCTTGCTTACACCTTTATCATCAAGACTGAGCAAACTGACTAGATATGAGTCGCCTGTGGAAAGCAGCTTTTTCTGACAGTTGACAGTGCATGTTAGTGGAGAGGTGGTGGTGATTTGTGGCTTGTTATCCTGGTTGTCTCTTCTTTTAATAATAATAATCGTTCATGGAGACAGTGCTTATTACATGCCAGTCTTTGTATATATTGACTCAGTGTTCACAATAGCTCTGAGATAGGTATTACCATTATCTCCATTTTACAGATGAGGAAACTGAGGCACACCTTCCCAAGGTCACTCCTTCAGTAAGTGGTAGGGCATGGATTTGAACCTGGGTGGCTTAGCTCCAGAGTCCATTTTCATACCACCACACTGTGCTTAATTTGGATCTTTTTCATTGCTCTCATATTGGCTAAGTTTCTGAAATGCGGTTGGAGCTTGGGTGAGGAGTTGATGTTTTCATATCATTTCTAAGCATCCCAGTCTTATCACCAACATGTTGACTATATATGCCTTTAGCTCAGACAGGTTATTAAGGAAAAGTAGGACTATGTTAAGATATGAAAAAAATCCACTTGTTTTAGAGCCTGTTACTGATATTAAATGAAGCCCTCTTAATTAGAAAGGATTTTACAAGCTCATTCCCATCAAACATGGGAAATTCAAATGCAGAGCTTCATATAAAAAACTCCCTTGAAATTTTTTGATGTGATCATTTTTAGTTAAATGTCTCTTAACAGAACATGATATTAGTTGTTGTAACTAACAATCACAATACTAATAGCTAATATTTTGATAGCCAGGCATTTTGCGCACTTAGATGTAACATGTACCTTGATCTCTGCAGCAGCCATATTAGTTAGATGCCGTTATTAATTCATTTTTCAGATGAAGAAACTGAGACACTGAGAGGCTAAGTAACTTGTCCAAGGTCACGTAGGGCCAGGATTTGGCCCCAGGCAGACTGACTCCTATGTCCTCTTCTTAACTACTACACTCTTCTGCCAGTTAAAATTTTAGGATGGGGGCTGGCGGGTTGGCTCAGTGGGTTAGAGCATAGCCTTGTAACAACAAAGTCAAGGGTTGAGATCCCCTTACCAGCCAGCCACCAAAAAAATTTTTTTTAGGATGGAGCCAAGTACAATTTGTGGATGGCTTATTCCTTACTAGGATTCAGAAGTTTCTAGATCTTAAAGCTCAGCTAATTCTAAGTGACCCAGAAAAGCAGGTAGGAATTAAGTTTCCAATGCTAATGGACAATTTTGTCTTTCAGATAATAGGAAGGTATATCATTAATGTATCCAATGACAACCTCCAGATTCCTACAGGGGCCCTGTAGACTGCCTCTAATGATCTATAGAAAGGTAGAGTAGGCCCCTCTTTCTGTCTGGCCCAAAGAGGACTTACACCTGATTGGATATGAGGGCGCAAAGGGAAGAAAAGAAGAGTCTAACCTAGCGAGCTTCTTCTCAACCAGTAAAAGTAGTCTTGCCATGTTCAGACTCACTAAGTTGATCCAATACAAGAATCTTTAAGTTGAACAATGAAAATTTTGTGTAGAATATAATGTACTTGAAGGTAAGAGGTTAAGGTGAGTGATAGGAGGCAGGGAGGCCTGTAAAGCTACCTGGCGGGTACTACTTCCAGGGCAAGACAGGACAGAAATGGAGAAGCAGAGCAGGCCGGATAGGAACGTGGTGTGCATATGCACCCTTAGAAGGAGGCAGTCACTACTCAGCCCCAGCTGACTGTGGTAGTGAGGGAAGGTTGAGCCAGTGTTGCCATGTCTTCAGGTTCTTCCAGAAGGCTGGAAATCCAAATTTTCTTGTAATGTGTCCTGTTGTCTCTGAGCTTTAGTGAAAGGGAGTGATCCCTCCCAAGCTTATAGGATTATTGTGAAAATATTGTCCACCAGAGTGCTTAGCAATCTCCCTCAAGTCTGGAGTTGGGTAAACATTTCTATTAAAAAACTATTTCTATTAAGAGGCCCAAGGATAGAAGTGCTGGAAAGGGTTAAGTGCATCTGTTTTCATTAGACAGTGGGGAAGGCTGGTCTGTGTCACCACCTTTGTATATTGTGGGATGCTCCCGACCCTCCTTCCCACAACCTAGTTTCCCTTCTCCTTGCATCCTCCACTTCAGGGTCCATGCCCTCAAGGTCAAACAAGTTGGAGTCCTCTGTCCACTGTATCTGTCCTTTCCAGTGGCCACTGTGTGAGTCCCTCTCAGTTGTCTGGTTCCAAAACATTCCTTCTTTGTGATCCCACTGCTGGGTTTAATGGGTGCTACTCTCTGTGTAAGAGATGGTCTAAATTAGCAAGCCTTTCTGTAAAGGGCCAAAAGGTAAATATTTTACACTTTGCAGGCCAAACAGTCCCGGTTGCAGCAATGAAAGTGTGCCGATGTATTGCAAAAACAGCCATAGACAATCTCTAAGTGAATGGGTACGGTTGTGTTCCAATAAAATTGTGTTCCAATAAAACTTTATTTACACAAACGGAGTGGAAGCCTGCAGACCATAGTTTACTGATCCCTGGTGTAAATCAATATTTTTCATACTGGCTATCTGCTTTTACACTGGATTTAGAGCCTGGAACCATGACTGTCTGGGTCACTGCAGTATCCCCTGTGCCTCATGAAGTACCTGGCACAGACTAAGTAGCCAGTAAGCATTTGTTGCACAAGTGAAGGTCCAGCTGATTCTGGAGACTTTTCTTTCTCTCTCCAGCCCGAGGAGGTCTCTCCCTCTGCCCTGCAGCCCCAGCTCTCTCTCTGACTCCAACCTGCAGTTCAAGGCTTTTTAAAATTCATTTATGCTGTAATGACCAGCTCTGAACATACTGTCCAGCTAAAGAACTAGAATATCAGCAATAACCTCTGAATTTTCCACTTAAGCGTTCCTTCTTGTTTTAGTAGTTTTACCAAATAGATCTATATTCCTAAACACTTTTTTGTTGAGTTTTGGTTGTTTTAGAGCTTAGTGAAAAGTGTATTGTGCTCTATGTGGTCTTCATGAGTTACTTTTTCACGCAAGATTATAACACTAGCATTCATATGTGTTGATGTGAATAGCTGTAATTCATTGGATTTTTCAGCGCTGTCTAATATGCCACTGAGTGAATATACCAGAATTTATTTATGCATTATGTTCTCTTGAGTACCCACTGAGGAACTGCTAAGTCTAGACACTTCTGACCCCATCATACAGCTGTGTCTGTCCAGAACTTATTGTACCAGACTGAGCTCCCAAAGGAAGTAACTCTGGGTAAATTGATCAATTCAGTACCACAGTCTGCCAGGCCTGGCAGGTCCCAAGCCTCTTCTTGTTCCTTACCAGTGCCTTTTTCTCTCCCCCAGATTCAACGGGTATGCTGGGCCGCATTGTCTTTGCCTGGTGGAAGGGGTGAGTTTGTCTTCCCTGCCAGGAGATTTCTGGCAACTCTTCTCAAGCTAGTAGTAATGACAGTAATGGTATTAGCCATTCATTGTGGTTGTGAAGGTTCCATGAGAGTCTATGCAAAGTGCTCAGCACATTGCACAGTACATAAGTGCTCAGTAAGCACTGGCTGCTATTCACAGCTTTAACTATGCCCCACGAGCACTCTGCATATTGTCTCTAATCCTTATAACAACTTTGTAGGGTAGAATTGAATGTGTACATTTTACAGATGTGAAATACACCCACAAGAGGGAAGTTATTTGCCCAAGCCACACTGCTTGTAACTTAGTGAGATGGGATTTGAACCTGAAGCCTGTCATCTTTGCATGGCATCAGGCTAGTTTATTGGATAGAACCCTAGACCAGGCCCCTGTGTGTTCAAGAGCTTCCCTATATGTGTCTGGTACCCCACCCAGGGATGATCCGTCTCACTTCAGGAGATTTCAAATGAAGGCTCGGGGCAAATGCTGCAGATTCTAGGTGGGCTGGGGGCTGTAGCATCCCCTGCCACTGGGATCTTAGAGAAGTGGTCCCCCGTGTTTGTGCACAGGCCAGGGAGTCACTGACTGACACACAGGGGCAGTAGAAGTAGCCATCTGCAGTACTGTGTACAGAAGTATCCCAGGCCTGAATGTTGGAGGCCAGCTCTCTTGGCCTTTTCTCTCCACTCTCCATGTGAGACTGACTGACACACAGGGGCAGTAGAAGTAGCCATCTGCAGTACTGTGTACAGAAATATCCCAGGCCTGAATGTTGGAGGCCAGCTCTCTTGGCCTTTTCTCTCCACTCTCCATGTGATCCCAGGGAATCATATTCCCTATCTGGGCTAGTTACCTATAACCCTCAGGGTTACACTAAATTTAGTATTTGCCACTCCAAAATGTATGGACTTCTTTCTGGGTGCCCTTAATGAAGCAAGAAAAGGAAGCAGGGAGAGGCAGAGGAACCCAGGAATAGCCTCCCTCAGAGGAAGGCCAGAGGGTGGGAAGCTACCACAAGACAGTCGGGTGTTTTCCTTGGTAAGTTATGGGTTAGTAAGGGAGAAACACTAGGTGATCAGTGAAAGTCCTCCCAGCTAATGGCGGCATTTCAGGCAGCAGTGACTGGGTGTGGGGACAGATGTCTGGCTGGGGATATGGGTTTTTCAGACCTTACCGTGGCCTAGGTTTCCCCACACTGCCCGTAGAATGTGTTTTCTCCTTAAATCTGAATTTCAACAACCTCTCCTCCCCAACAGGAGCAAACTGGACTGTAATGCCAAGCAGTGGAGGTGAGCAGGGGCTGGGACAAGGGGAGGAAAATCCTCTATTATGAAGGTCTCTCACCTCTGACCTCTAACCTCTGATCCCTCCCCCAGGCTTTTTGCTGACATCCTCAACGATGTAGCTATGTTTCTCGAGATTATGGCTCCCATATACCCCATCTGTTTCACCATGACCGTCTCCACCAGCAACTTGGCCAAGGTACCCACCTGTGGGGCATCCCTGTGCCCAAGATACCTGCCTTGGTGGTACTGTGGGGGGGCTCACCTGGGCCCTGTGCTCAAGGCACTTCTAGAAGAATGAAAAAGTTCAGATGTTTCTACTAGGACCCAAACATGTCTTCTGATCCTTCTCCAACCAGACAGCCACTAGTGCCTCGGTCAGTCAGTCTGAGGCAGTGTCTGGAGCCACAGCACTGGCAGGGGAGCTCCAAGGTGAGAAGAGAGAAGGAGCAATCCAGTGTCAACATTTTGGGGCCAGTTTCGCAGCTGCCTTTCATTCTTTCAATAATATATTTATTGAGTGCCTACGGCATGAGTGATACAGATCATGGACCCTCCCATCTTTGAAAGGAAGCCATACATAATTACACAAATATTTATGGAATTATAAGTACACGTATCCCAGATGAGAAATGTAGGGGGTATAGGAGGGTTCATTGGGGAATCTGGCCTGGTCAGGGCATGCAGGAAGGCCCCCCCTAAGGCTGGGTCCTAGAGAATGAGTTTAGGATGCAGGATGGGTGTTCTGGGCAGAACAGTCAGCATGTGTCAAAGTCCAGAGGCAAGAAAGAGCACAGACCTGATGTGAAGGCTGGAGGGACACGTGCATTGAATGCGAGCTCTTCCTCTGTGCGGGGGGCTTGCACTCACAGCTCCTTCAGGTTGGCCTCATTCTGATGAGGAAACTGAGGCCTGACAAGGTTCAGTAAAGAGCATAGCCTGTCCTCACCACAGAGTTCAGTACCTGGCACAGAATGAAAACTCAAGAAGACTTGTAAGACCCATCTCAAAGGCCCATTTAGCCATCTATTTTAAATCTCTTTAGAGCAGTGTTTCTCCCCAAGACACTACGGTATTTTGGGTGCAGCAGTTCTTTGCGGTAGAGGACATTTAGTTTCCCTGGCGCAGGCACTAAATGCTATGAGTACCGTTCCCCCCATAAGGGGAAGCACTTCCTCCCTCCCACCCCGCCGTAGGAAACACCAGAGAAAACCAAGGATTCTGACCTCTGACAGGTGCTTCAGATTCTGCACTAAACTCCCCCTTTGGGAGCCTCAGTCTCTTCATCTGTCCAATAAGGGACTAGAACAGGGCATGAACTTCCCCCTTAAGACCCCTCTCTAGTGTTCCCTTCTCAGTGGCCAGCACCAACACCCCCAGCTACACCAGCCAGAAGCCTGGCTGTCATCATGCCTCCTCCTTCACTTGTCACCCTCAGCCAAACCTCCACTCACTTCTGATATTTTTCCCTCTTAAATCTCTCCAGCCCATTTACTCCTCCATCTCCCTATTGCCGTCATGTCACTGCTGAGGAGGCTGTTACTTCCCGGGTAGTCTCTCTGCTTCCTCTCTCACCCCTCTCCAGTTCTTATCCAAGCAGCTCAGTGTGCCTTTAAAAGTGGAAATCAGGGCCAGCCATTAGCTCAGTTGGTTAGAGTGCGGTGTTATAACACTAGGGTCAAGGGTTTGAGTACCTGTACCAGTCAGCTGCAAAAATAAATAAATAAAATAAATAAAAGTGGAAATCAAATCAGATCACTTCCCTGCCCCGTTGCTCTTAGGATAAAGACCTTAACAAGGCTGCATATGGTCAGGTTCCTGGCAGTCACACCAGCCTCATTTTGTACTACATTTCTCTTGCCTTTGAACAAACTATTTCTCCTACCTATATAGTAACTGTTTATTTGTTTATTATCTATTGATCTGTATGCTTCATGAGGACAGGGCCCATGTCTGACTTGTATCATATCACCTAAACCTATATCTGGCATCTAAAAGAAGCTTGATAAATATGGGATGAATGAGGGTGATCAGTGACACTCATCAATGAGCTTTACCAACCTGAGATCTGCAAGGGAGAGATCAGGGTGCCCTGGGAGGTCAAGGCTACCGATGTGGGTTTTGAACTGGCCTGGAAGGCTGGATAGGCCTTAACTGGGGCAGGAAGAGAGTACAGGAAGTACAGGCAGGCAGAATGTAAGCATCAAATTGGAAACCAGACAGGGACTGGAGTTCAGCAATGGGAGGGTGTAGTCAGAGCAGGAGTTGGGGGCTGGAGAAGTTCTGGGCTGAAAATAATCTTGGACCTCAACACTGGGGAAAGAAATTAAGTTTCCTTGGGGCCGGGTCCACAGGGTGATAGTGGTAGGCAGGACTTTGGTTTTCTGGAAGAAGAGGGAGGTGAGCCTAAGGGACTTGCGGGGTGGGAACGAAATACCACAGACAGACAGCATTTGGGGTTCAGCTGTGGGCTCACCTGAGGCTGGCTTTTCCAGGCTGGTATGAGCCATTTCCTTGGCTCACCTGCAGAAGCACCTGCATTGTCACAGCACATGGCTGCTCTGACCTTCACTCTTCCTTTCCCACCCAGTGCATCGTGAGTGTGGCTGGCGGGGCCACTCGGGCTGCGCTGACCATGCACCAGGCCCGGAGAAACAACATGGCCGACGTGTCCGCCAAGGACAGCAGCCAGGTGAGCGGCAGGATTGGAGGAATGGCACGGAGGAGGGCCAGGCCACAGTTTGGTAGTACAGAGAGAAGTGCCTGAGTGCCCCTGGGGTAGGGCGGGGTGGGGGCTGGTGTGTAGAGACCCACAGGAAGGAATACAGGTGCTCCCTGCTCTGACTCTCAGGATATGTAGTCAAGTGTGAGGGCATAGGCTCTGGTGGCAACAAGTCCAAGCTGATCTTCTCAGCCTCTGCCCACTGCCTGTTTGGCCAAGAGTGAGCCCTTACCTTTGCCCTCTGTAGGTCTAGCTGCACCCTGGAAACTGGGTGTTTGATCACGCACGGCCCCACAGTGAAGGCCCCTGGCAAGTCAAAAGGTTCTCAGCACGTGGGCTTGCTGGGGTCACTGGCCAAGGCCGCCACTCAGCAGTTTAGCAGCTCTCCTGGCCCAGCCCCTCCACCTGACCAGGCAAACCCCGAGTGGGGGTAGGGACACCCCTGAGACTGAACCTACAGATATTAGATCCTCCCAGACCCTTGCGCTGAGAGCTTATGTGCATCACATCATCTGACTCTTGCAGCAACCCCGTGAGGTAGGTGCTGTATCACCCCTGTTCTACAGATGAGGAAAGTAAGGCCCAGGGAGGTCCCAGAGGTGTGAAATGCTTTTCTTTGACACTGAAGCGACTTAGAAATCTCTGTTCTATCCAGTCCTACTTTCTGGCCTTCTCTTATATTGTTTTGCTTAATAATATTAACACAAGCTAATATTTGTTAAGCATTAACCATGTTCCAAGTGTTCCATTTCCATGATCTTACCAAATTCTTACGATGGCCTTGTGCAGAGAGTACTCATTGCTGCCATTTTACAGAAGAAGAAATTGAGAGGTCTGATCCCCCTGGGTTCTTTTAGGCAAGTCCCTTCTCTCAGGAAATGGTTGGACTAGTTCTTGCCTGTGGTCTCTTCCAGCCTCAAATTCACAGGTTGTTAAGGAGGGAGAAATAAGTACAATCCAGGCCCTTCTCTTTAAGATATCCCAGCTTCAGGCCTGCTCTCTCACTGACCTCCAGTCCTCTTCCCAACCCCCAAGCTTTTTTTCCCAACGCCCCAGGGCTTCCTCGCTCTACAGAAACAGTAACACGTCACTGCAGAGGCAGCCTGGGCTGCATCCTGCAGCAGGCCTCTGCTTTCTACTGATGTCGCTTTATTGCCACTTGATGTGGCTGCTGGAAATGACTGTTCCCACCTGGGAGGGAGGAGATCTCTCTAACTCCTGGGTTCCCAAAGCCCCTAATCCCCAGTTTACTGCCACACCCACAGCCTTTATTCCCACAGCCCTCCCCCTTGTGG